CTGGTGAATCCTCTCACTGCCCCTGCACCTCTGGCCTGTACCTCAGTTCCCTATGCATACATAAATAAATCTTAAAAAAAAACAGATGCACAGTGTATGTTCGTGATGAACATATACGACAGAAAGGAAGGAATAGCATCAAAGAAGATAAATAAGTAGATGGCAGATTGACTGAAAAAGAATTCAAAGTCAGGAATAATCATTGAGACACACAATCAATGATATACAATGATAGCTATTAAGACTACTTACCACCTGTTTAATACAGTGTTTCAAACTTTATACCAGGAGATTTATATAAATTAATTAATATAAATTATTAAACTGATGCATCAAAACATCAAGAGGTATCCTAATCATGGGAATGACAAAATTGATGTTTGGGGAGTTTTGGTAAATAATATCCATGATCACAATGCTTGCAACTATTAATAGTAGGTTGTGGTTTAAGCCCAATATTACTATTGTCAATGCTTTCCTCTTACACTTCTATCTTCCCTGCCTACACTTCAAACATCTGTGTCTAATTAGCTTTTGCCTCCAGACTTTGTAGTTTCTAGTCACAGTTTCCAAAATATGTCTTCCAAAAATCCATTTGTCTTTTTCTAATTCTTAGGGGGAAATACTCTCTTAACAGATAACCAGTCCTTTGTAGTTTGCAATTGGTAGCATCAACGAAGCCAGGAACATGAGCAAAAGAGTTTGGAAAATGGCAGAGATTGGTCCAGTAGTGTGAACAGAACAAATTAAGGAAAAGAGGCCAAATATCCATATAAACACAAAAATTTTAGCAAATGAAATTCAACATTACATTAAAGGGACCATGCCTATAACCAAATGGTATTTATTGCAGCAATCCAAAAATGGTTAGACATATACAAATCAATTAATGTCATTAATTGTATCTATAAAAGATAAATATAACAGTCACCTCAGTAAATGCAGAGAAAGCATTTTATAAGATCCAACATCCACCTGTGATTAAAGTGAGGTAAAAGGAATGTAACTCAACATAATAAAGACCATGTATGACAAAGTTACAGCTAATATACTTGATGGTGAAAAATTGAAAGCCTTACCTCCAAGATAAAATATGAGACAATGATGCCCACTATTACCAATACTATTTAGCAAATTATTGGAAGTCCTAGCCAGAGCAATCAGGCAAGAGAAATAAAAAGAAATCCAAATTGGAAAAGAAGAAGTAATTATTTGTAGATGACATGATATTCACAGAAAACTCTTAATACTCCACTAAAAACTCTTACAAATATCTGTACATTAAAGTAGCAGGCTATAATATTAATATACAAAAAGCTATTGCATTCCTCTATGTGCACAACAAACTAGAAAATAAAGAAATCAGGAAACAATCCCATTTACAATTGCATCAAAAAGAATTGAGTACCTGGGAATAAACTTTAAAAAGGTCAGGTAACTGTACAATGGAAGACATACGACATTGTTAAAAGAAATAAAAATGACACAGGAAACAATGTTATTCCATGTTCATGATCTGAAAGAATTAATATGGTCAAAAGCACCATCTTGCCCAAAGCAATATATATACTAATGCAACTCCTATCAAAATTCCAGTAGTTTTTTTTTAAGGAACTAGGCACACATTACTGAAATATATACATAACCACAAAAGACACCAAATAACCAAAGCAATTATGAAGGGGAAAAAAATTAACGGAAATATTATGATCCTAGACTTCAAATTATACTACAAAACAATAATAACCAAAATCGTATAGTATTAAAAAGGCACACAGATCAGTGAAATAGAATTTAGGTCCCAGAAATAAAATCCACTTATAGGAAGCAGAGAAGCCAAGAATTTATGATGGAAAAAGAAAACATTTTCAACATGTCGAGTAGGTAAAACCTGACAGTCATGTGCATAAGAATGAATCCAAACCACTACTTCACACAGTATATAAAAAGTCGCCCAAAATTGATCAAATGCTTAGATGTGAGACCAGAAACCACAAGCTACACTGGACAAAACAGGCAAATCACTCCACAACTCTGGTCTCAGGGATACTTTTGGGGAAACGATCATAAAAAATGAAAAGATATCCTATCAAATGGGAGAAAATATTTGTACATCAAATAACTGCACCTGATAAAAGTGCAGGTAAGATTGACAATGAATACATACAATTCAACAAAAAGAAAACAAATAAATCCACAAAAAATGAGAAAAGGTAACAGACATACAATGGCCAATAGGCACACTAAAATAAACGTACAGCATCACTTATCACCAGGGAGATACAAATCAACACTACAATAAGATACCATATCTCATCCATGATGTTTTGATTAATATTGGCAAAGTATGGAGAAAAAGAAACCCTACTTCACAATGGGATTGTAGATTAGTCTAGCCTCTATGAAAAATAGTATAGAAGGTTCTTAAAACATTAAAAATAGATCCACCATATGATCCAGCAGTCTCTCCTAAGTATATACCCAAAGAATGCAAAAACACAAATTTGAAGGGGTATTTGCACTCCTATGTTCACTGCAACACTGTTTGATATAGCCAAGCTATAGAAACAACCTAAGTGTCCAACAACAGATGAATGGATAAAGACAATATGGTATATATACACAATGGAATGCTGCCCAGGTATAAAAAAATAGAAGATACTATCTTGCCATTTGTGATGACTTGGATGGAACTTGAAGAGATTATGTTAAATGAAATAAATCAGATGGAGAAATACAGGATGCAGAATATTCATATGCAGAATATAAAGAAAAGATCAAAGGAACAGACAAAAGCAAACTAAAGCAAACCTTTGAAATCTAACAGCAGAACTTGGCTACCAGACCGGGGAGGGTGGAAGAATAGGAGCGAATAGGAGAGATGCTTAATGATCTACAGTGGAAGATTACTGGTGGTACGGTACAGTAACACACATTTGTAGAGGTGTGAATCCACCACCCTTAGACAAATACCGTGTTATAAATCAACATGATCTCAATAAAAATAACTTGAAAAAAACTAACAAATTAGTAAAAATAATTTTCGATGAAGCTGGTATATTCAAGCCCTCCACAGCTTTACAACTGATGTTTAAGTCAAAAGTCATCTCCCTAACATCAGATCCCCATTGTCTATCAGGAGGCCCAAGCAGGGTTCCTGACCCTGTGGAGTCTGAAAGTTTGAGACCTCTTCATTGTCTCTCAGTCCTCCATAGAACTTGGCTTCTGCTTCTTTTACAGTTTAAGTTTTGGAGCTTGTACTTAGGGACTCTTCCCCCTTATAACCATAACTTTGCCTTGAACCGGTTGCTCCTGGGGCAGAATAGCCTTGGACTGTAACTACATATTGGAACAAAAGGCTCCCAAAAGAGAAAGAGAAGTTAACATTCTTTTCAGCGCTCCTGTGCTTTTTCTATAGAAACAGAATACTTTATTAAGTTAACAAAGCATAACAATTCACTTCAAATTATTATAGATAAAAATTGATTGCATCACTTAGAGCAAGATTTAAAGAAACACATATACCTTGTTACTACCTTTAACAGTAATCATTCACTGCTTAATCCAATGTTGGCTCTTGTTCAAAGTTTAAACTAGAATTAACTCTGTGTCTTTCCTTAGAGTTTAAATTCTGTTTGGGGTTGACACTTGGATTTGTTTGTGGTTTTTTTTTTTTCCTTCAGGGCATTAGAGATTTTGGCACCAACAAATAATCCACATGGTTTCTCCCCATTCTCCCCAGCTTTTCACAATTTTAACTGCCTCCACACAGATTATCAGTGAGAAGGTGCCCTGCTGCGGTCTTAGCATTCTAATTAACAGTCTTGCTGTCTAATCACTCTGCTCTTCTGCATGACAGACTGACCTTCCAGTCCACACTGTTTGCCAACCGCCAAGAAAAGAAAGTGATTAGAGTCAAACCACATAATATTCTTAATGTAGAACACACACACACCCACAGTCGGGGGGCGGGGGGAGGATTGCTCCTTTTTTAGTAAGAAGAGGTGATTTGATTCAAAAAAAAAACAAAAAGGAAACTCTTCAAAGAACTAGCTCTTCTAGGTCAGTAGTCAGCTATTTGTTTTCCAACTTAATCGCTAGTTTATAAGTGCCAAAGACCTCCAATTCACAATCTTCATCCTGCTTAAACAGTGTTTAGATAGGACACAAACATTTTCAGCCAAGATTGAGAAAAATTTTTCTACAGCATCTTATTTTAGTAAGTTGTCAGATATAAGGGTAAAACTTGCAATTCCTATGTACATAAATAGAATTCAAATTTATACCATGGGAATCAGTTCTGATTTCTTTGTAGAAAGTTGCTCTTACAACAGAATCAAAATCACAGGGAATGCCAAATGCTGAGTGGTAGATGTGGTGAGTGAAGAAGTTGAGAAATAATCATTTTGCAGCCACCAGACCAAAGACTGGCTCAAGAAAGAATCATCAATGGTTGTTAACTCCAGAAGGAAATGTTGACAAGCAGCAGCATATCTACAGGGTCTGAAAGGGTCTCCTTAAAGGTGTGTGAACAAAATAATCATCACCAATGAGAGACAGATGGCTGTGTATATCTGCAGATGTGTTCCATCTCAAGATTATGCCTGAAATATATAACCTGAATCTATCCATCAGGAAACATCTGACAAACCCAAAATGAAGAGCATTTTTTTTTAAGGGACTGAATTTTTCAAAAATACCAATGTCTTCAAAGACAAAGTAAAACTATAGAAATGACTGGGAGGTCAGTCTCTCATGCAGAAGTGCAGAGTGATTAAACAGCAAGACAGCAGATTTTTTTTTAAAGATTTATTTATTTGTACATACAGAACTGGGGTACAGGCCAGAGGCTCAGGGGTGGCGAGAAGCTTCACCAGAGAGAGTGGGGAGCAGAACAGGCAGATCAACGAAGTACACTGCTGAGGGGAGCAGTGGGCAGGTCAGGAGAGGTCTGCCACACCATGTGGTCACCTCCAGGGCGGGTGGGGATCTAACTCATGTGGAAGCGGCTTTAGCTTCTCAGTGCTGTGCTTTAACCCGCTGCGCCACCAGGGAGGGCCAAGACAGCAGATTTAAGGACACAAAATAACTAAATGCAATGTCTGATCCTAGAATGGACCCAATACTGTAGGGATATTATATGGTTAGCTGAGGCGGGGGGGAATACAAAACATAGATTATAGCAATGTATTTTTATCAATGTCAAATTTAGTGACATTGAAAACTATATCGTACTTAAGAGGCTATGCTTATTCTTAAGAAATACACATGAGGTGTTTAGACATAAAAGGTTGTATGTATACAACCTTTATTCAAGTTGTTCAAGGAAAATATATATGTGTGTATGTATGTGTTGGTGAGTTCACAATCATTCATAAATGATAAATCCTATCAACTATATTGGGAACGTTAACAATAGGTGAAATGAGGAAAGAGCATATAGGTGCTATTTTTATTCTCACAACTTTATTATAAGTTTAAAATTATTTCTAAATAAAAAGTTACCATCAACAACCACCACGCATGTGCACATACACACAGGTAAGTTTGTGAGGGAAAACAGCAGGCTGGAAGGAAGACCGTCATCTCCATCCTGAACCCTATCCCACTTTTTACCCCTAACTTCCTTATCCCAGCCCCCTTATCCTCTAAGGGAGATGACCATTGCTGTCATCATAACTTCCTTGCAGTTCTTTGTTCTCCCTACCTATCTTGGCGTACCTTTTAACCTCTGTCTCTAGGTCCAGCTGAGACAAAGTGACCATTTTTAATTTTTGTTTTGAAAATACTACTGGAAAAAAGGAAACATAAAAAAAAATAGAAAGCTCAACCGCAAATAGTGAGGTCACAGGTATATTTTTCTCAGCTTCAAATTACCAAAAGTGAGGCAACATGGATGGAGCTAAAAAAGGACAAGGCTATGCTAAATAAGTCAGGAGAAAAGAAGAGAAATATGAGGTGTGTGACTTATATGTGAGATATAAAGAAATCAAATAAAGGATCAGGAAAAAGACAAAACTTGCAAGTTGACCAGAGATCTGAGGCATGTGGCAGGGAAGGGGTCAGGAAATGGGTCAAAAATGGAGGAAAGAGTGCAGAGGCTATGGTGATGGATCAAGGGTACTATGGTAGTAGGAGAACTAAGGGACTACGCCTGAGGGGAGAAATCAGATGCTACACAAAAATAAGCAATGAGAAAATAAATTAATTTTTAAATAAATTACAAAATATTTGGCAAATTACTTGAGCAACACTATTTACTGCACATACCTAGATTCTCCTCACCTTTTATTTATTTGACTTCCCAAAGTTAATATAACTTCACCTATTTTCTCAGCAAAATTTGCACCTAGACTCATTAGTCATAACATGATTTCATGGCCTGTAGCATCAGCCGAGAATTCTCTCTGCATTATACTAAAACCTGTTTTCTTTAACAGTTGGTGTACTCACTAGTGATCAGAGCTGAGGTAGAGCTCCTCATTTCACTCCTTCAAAAGATAAGCTGTATCTTAATGTCTTCTTGTAAGTTGACGGATATTTTATCCTAACTCATGAATTGTGTAAGAGTGAACTACTATTAAGTTACATTGATTGTAGCTAGATTTTAATGAGCTGAATTTGAAGATTATTAAAAGCTACTTAGAGTGCTTAATAAAAATCTTTATTCTTCTAGTTTAAAAAAGTCAGAGTGCTGTTGATTGAATAAGTTTCTGTTAAGGTATATGGAAAGCCTACAATCCTCAGTTTACTGGCATAACAGAAATGATAGACATGCTCAGTGACACTCTAGCTTTGCTGTCATGGCTGCCCACTTGTCCAGATCCTTCTGAAGACACATTCAAGTCTCATGCCTGCCCCATTATAAGTGCTACATTTCCCCCACCACCCCTACCTACCCCTTCATTTCCATTTCCATGAACAGAGCAAAATTGGTTAAATTCTTCACTCGTAATAAAAATGCACATGTCCTGATAAGGGAAGTTATTTAATTGCAAACCCCCTCAGTCAAAATACTTCTTTCTCAGACTGTAATGTAACATTCTTCTCAGTCCTTGTTCTTTTCAGTGTAACTTTCCAAGTAGTCTGTATTTTGCCTCTTTGCCCAATGTAAGTTTATACCAGTGGTAGTAGGCTGGTAAGTAGGCTGGTAGGCTGCTCACAAAATAATCCAAGGCAAACATTTATGCCTCAAGCAGGAAGGAATTCTTCATATACCCAGTCAGTGATCCAGTCTCTTTTTGATTTGATGGAAAAATCACCACGTAGAGCCCATCATCCTCTTCAACCTCTGCAGCCATCTGGTGAAAAGAGAAAAAAAAAACATGGAAAAGGCCCACCCACCTCTAAAAAAGGCACAGTTCATAAGTGGTATATATCACTTCCACTCAAATTCCAATGGTCAGAGCTAGTCACATGCTACTAACTACTGCAAGTGAATTTGGGACTGTAGTCCCTAACTAGACAGCTACTTTTTACTACCAAATTAAAGAGAAGGGGAAATTTTTGGTACACAGGGAAATTTTTGGTACACAGTGAGCAGACATGGTCATGTACATTAAGCAAAGAAAGGAGGAAGGTTTGGTAAGTGAAAATCAATAGGCAAACAAATAAAATACTTAACATTTCTTCTTTTGTCTTAATTTTTCCTCTTAAATTATTTTGGTGTTTGTTTTCAAGGAAATACATGCCTTGGAATGATGTTCGTATACTTCTTTTCTTATTTTTTCCCAAAGATTTATTTATTTATTATGCATACAGAATTGGGGTAAACCCCAGAGGAGCAGTGGGTACAAGGATTCACCAGAGACAGAGTGGGGAGCAGAACAGGCAGAGGGACTAAGTACACTGCTGAGGTGAGCAGCTGGTGAGACAGGAGAGGTCTGCCGTGCCATGTGTATCACCTCCAGGGCCAGGGATCAAACTCACACTGAAGCGGCTGCAGCTAGCTTGCAGTGCTACATCCTAACCTGTTGTTCCACCAGGGAGGGCTATTTCTTTTATTAAAAAAAAATTTTTTTTGAGGCAGGTACTAGATTCAAAGAAGGAGTAAGAATGATAGTGGTTTTTGTTCAAAGCCATTGAAGTCACATGCTTTGCCAGACAAAAGATCAGAAAGTTTTGAAAGTCTGATTTTCCCATGGGTCTTGACTATATCTCCAACATCATTTTTCACCCATCTTCTCCTCATGCACCATCTTCTTGCCTCATTGTCTAATTTAATCAACCTAGAAGAATCCAAGCACACTACTGCCCCATAACATTCACATCAGCTCTTCCCTCTTTATGGATACTCTCCTTTCAGATATTTCCCTCTTACTTAATTAAAGTCACCAAAAAAATGTGGTCACTTAAGAGAAGCATTTCTTGCCTTTCTGACTCAATATAAAATAGCACTCTCTCCTCAGGCTATATGTCATTTCTAGTCCCTACTCTGCTCTTCCTTCATCATATTTATTACTATAGTATATTATATATATTATTCATTTATCTACTAATAGCCATCTTTCTCACTAGCATATAAGCTACATGCAGGTCAGGACTTTGCTTTATTCATTGCCGTATCACCAATAACTTAGACATGCTTGACACAAAGTATATGCTCTCTAAGTATTTATTGAATGAATGTGTTTATTTGGTTGGGTATAAGTACAGTCACAAAAATAAATGCTGTTCAGACCACATCAATATTCAAAAAACACCTATATAAAAGAACACTCTTTTGTTGCTTTAGGGTTTACTTACCATACTTTTAAAATAATGTTTAAAAACAAAACCATGAATGGACAACTAATGTCCAACAAAGAAGCAAAAGCACATAATGGAGCAAGGAAAGTCTCTTCAATAAATGGTATTAGGAAAACGGGGCAGCCACATGAAAAATAATAAAAATAGACTATTAATACCACATACCAAAATTAATTCAAAATGAGTTAAAGAACTGGATATAAAATCTGAAACCATAAAACATGTAGAAGAGAATGTAGGTGAGATGTTCCTTAAAATTAGATTTAGAGATGTATTTGGAGATTCAACTTCAACATGAAGGAAAATAAAAGGAACAATAAATAAGACTACATCAAAATAAAAAGCTTCTTAAGAGTGAACAAAATCTGCAGCAAAATAAAGACATCCTACTAAATGGAAGAAGATACTTGTACACCATACATCAAAAAAGGATTAGTATCTAAAATATATGAGAAACTCATAAAACTCAACATCCAAAAAGGGAGAAACAACTCTATTTTATAAAAAAGAAGGGGGGGGAGAGATATTCTAAATAGACATTTTTCCAAAGAAGACATAGGCACATGGAAAGACTGCTCATCATCTCTTACTATTTGGGAAATGAAAATTAAAAAATTGAAATAACACCTCATACCTGTGAGAATGGCTATTATAAAAGGAAGAAACTACAAATGTTAGGGAAGATAGGAAGAAAAAGGAGCCTTGTACATTGTTTGATAGAAATGTAAATTGGTACAGCCATTATGGAAAGCAGTATGGAGAGTCCTCAAAAAAAAAAGGAGAAATTCCACTCTCCAGTTAACCTACTTCTAAGTAGGTAAATAACCCAAAAATGCAACAAAAAAATCTATTTCAAGGAACACGTGCACCCCTGTGTTTATTACAGCAGTATTTACAATAGCCAACTGGTGGAAACTACCTAACTGCCATCAACAAGAAGAGGTGATGTATGTAGAAAGAATGGAATTCTACTTGGCAATTAAAATATAGAGAGATATTACATCCTGCCATTTGCAGTAACCTGGATGGACCTAGAAAGTATTGGGCTTAGTGAGATAAGTTAAATAGGGAAAGACAACCACTGTATGATTTAACTCATATGTGGTATACAGAGAAAGAAACAAAAAGCAAATGGATAAAATAAACAAAAAAATTAATTTGGGGATTATAAGACCAAAGTAGCAATTATAAGAAGAGAAGTGGGGAAAGAGAAGATAAATAGGATAAAAGGGGACTTAATGCAGTATATATACACATGTTGACTTCTAATCATGTGCACCTGAAACTTATATAATATTAAATTGGAATGTTGTGTCAATAAAAAATAAAGACATATTTTATAAAGCAGTGAGTGACAACTGGACATCCATATGCAAAAGAGTGAAATTGCACCCCTTCCTTACACCATACACCAAAACAACTGCAAATTGATCACAGATGTAAATGAAATAGCTAAAACTATAAAACTCATAGATGAAGACAGAGGAATAAATCTGTATGATGTTGGATTAGGCAATGATTTCTTAGATACAACATCAGAAGAGTAAGTGATTTCAAAAAATGGATAAATTAGACTTTGTCAAAATTTAAAGCCTTTGTTCTTCAAAAGATAAATCAAGAAAGTGAAAAGACAATCCATCCCTAATGGGAGACGGATACTTAGATTATATAGAACTCTTGCAACCTGACAAAAAGACCAATTATATAATGGTCAAGGGATCAAAATAGATATTTCTCTAAAAAAGATATATAAACAGTCAATAAGCACATGAAAAGATGTTCAACATCAATAGCCAGCAGGAAAATACAACTCAATATAACATGAGATACTATTTAAATCAAAAGATTTAGAAAGACTATAATCAAAAGGCAAGTGTTGGTGAAGATAAAGGAAAATTGTACCTTCATTGCTAACAGACATGTAAAATGCAAAATTTTGGTCACTTTGGAAAACAATTTAGAAATCTCTCAAAGGACTACATAGACAGTTATTACATTACCAAGCAAATCCATTCCTAGGTTTATACCCAAGAAAGATAAAGTCAAATATCTGTACAAAAACTTGTATGTAAATATTTACAGCAATATGATTCACAAGCTTCCAATCAAAAAGTGAAAATAACCCAAATGTCCATCAACAAATGAAAGAATAAATAAAATGGGGTCTATACACATATAACAAAATATCATTGGGCAAATAAACTACATGAAATATTAAGCACATGCTACATGCTACATCACACCAAGTGAAAGAAATCTACCACAAGACATCATATATTGTGCTATCCATTTACATGAAATGTCCATAACCAGCAAATTCTAGATACAGAAATTGTTTAGTGTTTCCCTGGAGGACCTGGGAGGGATGAGGGGTGATTGCTAATAAGTACAGGATCTTTTTTGGATTGATGAAAGTTGTCCAACAGAATTGCATGATTCTGTGAATGCAATAATAACTTTTAATTATATGCTTTAAATAGGGGAAATTGTATGATGTATGAATGACAATTTTTCTTTACAGTAAAGAGCCCTTTGCTAGGTTTCTATTTCAGAGACAGAAATAAATCTATATCACACCTATGGTTTTGATAATTCACCTAAAATACTAACTTCTGGATCTGTAGTTCTCAAAGCATGGTTCTACCCCGCAGTATCAGTGTCCCAAAAATTCCTTAGAAATTATTTGGCTCCACTCCAGACCTATTGAATCAGAAATGCAAGGGTAGAGCCTAGCAAAATGAGTTTAATATACCATCTAGGTCATCCTGTTGCTCACTAAAATGTTAGCTCCACTTCTCTAGGCCAGGAGGAACCTAAGATCTTTCTCCCTAGGACAAGGGTGATTAACAAAATTGCTACCCTCACCCCCACTTTCAGAATGTTACATAGATTTTCTTTCTTTTTAAATAATAACAGGACTACTCTACTTTTTTCTCATGTATGCAGTTAAGCCATGGCCTGCTCTTATATCAAATTTCTCCACCTCTTTCACTGTTTTCTTCATGTGGTTAGCTTGGTAGAAGGAAAATCCGATATTTAGGTTCAGGTGGAGCCAAGAGATCCCATTCCTTAGTCTGGAGACCTCAATGCATGGACAATTTGGTCTCTTACCAGAATAGGCTGTATGATCATCTTGAGTATTTGACTCACAATTTGTTACTGTTCTTACGTTTCATGGGGGAAGGGGATTCTTTTCATGCCAGGCAGGGAACATGTTGTGATTCTGACTGAATGATTTCATCATAGCATCAAAATTTCAGTCTTAGTCCAGGCACCCTGCATGACACCATAATTCCAAGGCTTACCCACATTTACCCTGAATGTGAAACATGTACCCCCCTTCCATCCACCTACTTTGTTTACTCACACCATCACTATATACTCAGTAAGTCAATGAAAAGTATAAAAAGATACCCATAGGGCTTATTGGGAGCCCAAAAGCAGTTGGTACAGGGTGCCTGAGAATCTATGGCAGCACCTTGTGGGCTTAAGGTTATCAGACCTATCCCCTATAAGAAAGTAAATCCTTGAATGTGAAATATAAGTAATCTGTCCTTACCTGGGCCATATCAGCAGTGTACAGGTGACTTCTATCAGCCATGATAAATGTGCACACATATGTATATATAATATATTCACAGCATGGAAATAAATTTCTCACTGACTCCCTTTCTGCAACAGAAAATAGAAAGAGGAAAAACTTAACTGCAAATCCAAAGCGAAGTTATCAGAACCAAATTAAAGCTGCTGGGTATTTTTGTTGAAACACCTCTACCTCTGAAATCTAATTTCTTGAAACTTTCCATATAGGATCCTGTGTTGTATTATTTATAAGAAAATAATATTCAGCTTCCCTTGACAGCATTTCCTGACTGCAGAAACCACTGTAGCCATGAAGGAACAGAATGATTTTGGTAATGTTTCCATAGCTACCTTGTTTCAAAGTGAGGTTTATTCTGTTTTAAAGTCTACTGACCTATTCACATCCTTATTTGAAGTATTTTCGATCTAATTCTTTGTCTGCCTATTATGGTCTAATGTTCTTCTGATTCCTATATTTCAGGAGGTCCTAGAAGCATAAATATATGTTTAGCAGGCTTTCCAGTTAGACATAACAATCTGATGATTTTTTTTTCTTTTTTTCTATTTCTTCAGATCCAGTGTGTATTCTTTCTGTCCTGTCCTTGCAATGCTGGGAAGCCTTTTTGAGGTTTTTGTAGGTAAAGTCTGTTTAAGGTACGTTGGTGCCCTCTCGTGGTCACTCTGGCCTGTGCTTCTTCCCCAGAACCTTTTCCACAGACAATTGTTTTTCAAGAAATAAATGATAAAATATCCCTCAAAATACCACTGCTAATTATCATGTGTGTTCTTAAATCTGTATCTTTTGCCCCTTGCGAGCATAAGGGTAGTCTAGAAAGACAGAAAACCTCTCCTCTTCCAAAGCAGAGGCCATAGAAGTGACCTGTAACACACCCTAACAAATCTTCTGAAACCCTTGTGATGAAGACAGTCTAAGGAGCTGGGCCTTGCCATAACAGAACACTGTCCATCCTCTAAAAAGAGCACAAGTAACAAGTATAACATGAGCAAACCAAAAGTGGGATGAGGAATCAAGACAAAACAACCAATAATACTCTAATTAAATTCAATACAACTACTTTTTATTCATGAAACTCAATAGGGAGTGATTGATATATGGTCCCAGCATGTCCAGTAGAAATTGGGAGAAATGTTATCTAGACCTGTGCTGTTCAATTCAGTTAACTACTAGCTATATGGATTATGGAGCACTTATAGTTTATGTAGTGAAACTAAGGATCTGAATATTTTGTTTAACTAATTAATTTAGATATTCAGGTGTGGATAGTGGCTACCATATTAGACATCATAGGCCCGGGGGAGGGGCAGATAAGATCAGAACACAACAAAGACAGAGTTTGTCATATAGGAAATACAAAGTTTCATGGGAAAGACTGAGCAAAGATGATCAGTGAAGCTTCTAGAAGAGGAATATTTAATCTTAGCCTTGAAGAACTGATTGATCACTTTAGGCAGTGAAAGTAAAGAGAGTATTCCAGGTAGCAGGTGTAAAAAGATAGAGATGGGGAAATATAAGTAAATGTATCAGGTACATGTGGTTGGAAAGTATAAGAAACACAGGTCAGAAGAGAGAATATAAATTTTTTAATGTCTTGAAAGGTATTTTGGTAAAAATCAGCTGTCAGTGAAATCTGTAACAATCCCTCCATTAAAAGAGGTTAAGGAGGGAAAACAAGATCTCACACAAAGGAGTCTGAGGTTTCAGGGAGCCAAAAACATTGTGGCAAAAGTGACCTAAGGCGTAACCATTGTTTGTGGGGTTCTGCTTTAAGTTTATTAGCTTAATAGCTGTGTGTGGAGGGATTGAAGCCATATCCATATCACTTTTGGCTTCCAAATCCAGCCCTAGGATGGGGTTAATTAATTCCATTCTATGTTCACTGCTAGCTGGCCTCCCTCCTTTAACAGAGACACTATTCACCAGCAGAACGAGTTGGAATGAGCTTTCAAGGTAGTAATGAAGGCCAATATTGTTATCATGACTAAACCCTGCATTCTTGGTTCTCCCACCCCTTACAAGGCTGCCTGCTATATATTTTATTGTAGCAAGAACACAACAGAGCATACTTCTTGATTAGTGCTTGCTTATGAATCCAACGTGGAAATTGTGCTCAACCCTGCCATATATTCAATCCTGGACAGCAGAACAATTGTGCCTAGAGAGGTCCATTTTAATGACCATGGCTCTTGAAAATTCTCACATAGAAGATGACATCTCTCTCCCTTTCCAGGTAGCCCAACATTAAAACGTTTCTGACACTTTGAATCTAAATTATTCTTCATTTCTAACATTTTCTATTTTCTTTAATTCTCCTTTGTCATCTACAAATTACTCAAGTGTATTTTTAAATTCCTAAATGTATAGAAGTAACATTTCTACAGGTATCTAACTGAATTGTATTGTTTTGGCATTTGAGAGTTGTGACCCATTATGAGATACAATTAAGAACTATTACTCTCAAATACCTGTGAAAGTGCTGCAGAGTAAACTCTACTACTCATGTATAATTAAATTGTCAAAAAAAGAAACTTTTAACAGTTTAAAAAAAAAGCGGTTGTATATTATCATTTTGTTGTCCCAACTTCCAGTATCCTTCACTAAGTTATTGTGTATTTATCTATGAGATACTGCTTAAAATCTGTTGTGATTCTAGTGTTTGCCATGGTCTCATAATTTAGGCAACATATGATTTATTAAGCTGAGATTATGTTATTAAGTGTATACAAGTTTAGAATAGTTATTTTTTTCCTAGCAAATTTTTCCTTTATCATTATATTGTAACCTGTAATAATGTTTTTCTTAAAAAATTTTGGGTAGTTGTATGTCTGGAATGTCTTTTTTATTATGTTTGAGGTATGTCACACATAAAGCTGAATTTTAACAACTAGGAATGTGTTAAACAAATTTGGTAGATTCGTGTTTATTGTAAATACTGATATAATTGATTTTATTTTTTCATCTTATTTTGTACTTTTACTTATTCTAATTTTCTTTTTTTTAAAGATTTATTTATTTATGTATACAAGAGCCTGGGGTACAGGCCAGAGATGCAGGGGGTGAAAGGATCCACCAGAGACAGAGTGGGGAGCAGAACAGGCAAATCGACTGAAATACACTGCTGAGGGGAGCAGTGGGAGAGGTCTGCTATGCTGTGTGGGTAGCTTCTTGGCTGGGGATCAAACTCGTGCTGCTGCAGCTGTGGATAGCTTCATAGAGCTTTGCTTTAACCACCAGGGAGGCCTGAGTTGTTTAATTTTCTACACATAATTCTCTCTTCTTCTGCCCTTTACTGAATTGTCCCATTGTCCTCTATCAATTTTGACTTTTGTTGTTATTTCCTTTACTATTAAACGGTTTACTGAAGAGTTTAAATTGATCAGTATCCATTACCTATACAATAAACTAAATTCTTCAATTCTAATTACCTCCATTATTTTGTAAGTTAAAGTGACCCATGAGTATTTCAGCCCCTTTATGCTTTACTATCAAACATATTTAGCACTATTATTGTTCTATTCATATGTAATGAAACATTTACCAATTCTTATTCATATTTGGTGAAATGTTTGCCAATATCTTGGTCTCTTATACCTTCTTTTTAGGTTCTTATTCCTTGATTTCTTCTATTTATAGTTCTTTTATAGACTTTTCTCCCAAGAAGATATACAGATAGCCAACAAGTACCCAATATGGTGCTCAGTATGATTAATCATGACAGAAGTACAAATTAAAACAACAGTTTCATCTCATACCTACTAGAATGGCTGTTATCACAAAGACAAGAAATCACAAGTGTTCATGAAGATATAGAGAGAAGGGAATTTTGGGTACTGCAAGTGGAATGTAAACTGACTCAGCTACTATGAAGAACAGTATGGAGTCTAAAAAAAATTAAAACTAGAGCTATCATATGACCCAGGAATTCGCCTTCTGGGGATATATCTGAAGAAAACAAAATCACTATCTCAAAGACATATCTGTACTACCATGTTCATCGCAGTTATTAGTTATAATATCCAAGAAATGTAAGCAACCTGATTTCCTTTAGGAAGAAGTGGAATAAAGGAGATGAGGTGTGTGTGTGTGTGTGTGTGTGTGTACAGATATACAGATATAGCTATATAGATATGATGGAATGTTTTTAGATATGGGAAAGAAGTATATCCTGCCATTTGTGATAATGTGGATGAAACTCGAGGATATTATGTTAAGCAAAATAGAGAAATACACATTGTACTTACATATGAATTTTACTTATCTGTGGAGTCTAAAGTTCAACTCAGAAATAGAGAATAGGATGAGAGATGCCAGGGAGGGGAGACAATAGGATTTTGCTGGTCAAAGAACACAAACTTCCAATTATAAGATGACTCTGGGGGACCTACTGCACAGTCTCTGGCTATAGGTAACAATACTGTTTATATGTTCAAAAGCTAAAGAGTAGATCTCAAAAGTGCTCACGAAAAAAAGTAAACTTTGATGTGATAGATGCATTAACTCATGCTATTGTCGTAGTGATTTTGCTTTATATATGTGTACCAAATCATTGTGTTTACACCCAAAACTTACACAATGTTGTGTGTTAATTATATTTTATTAAAGCTGGAAAAATAAGATAATGAAATAAATAGAAGTACTAGTTGCTTATATAATCAGAAATCTTTAAAAGAAGTATGATGGGACATTTTGTGGGGGTGGAGCAGGGAATGGGATCAAAAATGAGGTGGGGGGAGGGAAATGCATGGGATTATGGTGGTGGCACATGGGTGACTTGGTGATGGGAAACCCGCGGGGATTACAATTGAGATGGAAAAAAAATGTACAAAAATTATGTAAAAATAAACTTTTGTAATAAAATAAAAAGAAGTATGATGGGATACTGAGTAACAGAGATGCACTTTCAAGGATTTTTAAATTAGAGCAAGAATTTATTCAGCATCAGTTGAATATGAATCTACCAAACGCGGTAACAGGCACTGAAGATACTTGGGGGGTGGGGGGGGAAGAGACACCCCTAACTTCAGGGAGCTCACATCCAGAAGAGAGCTGAGAACACAATACAATATCTTGAATGCTCTGAGTGGAAAAGAACTGAGGAAAGACAGAGGAGGGTCCTCTAAACCAGCCTGGAGGAGTGCCTGAGGAAGGTTTGAAAGGAGACAAGACCTAAACTGAGTCCAATCTTGACTGGAGGAGTTTCCCAGATGGTGAAACTGAGGGAAATCTATTTTGCCTCAACACAAAATTAAAAATATCCACGGAGCAGTAAAGTAGGGAGAGAATTAGTCCAAGGACTAGAATATCCTCCCTCTCCTAGAAAAGCCACAGAGGGAGAACACAAGATGGCAGTGGTGCCATGGGATTGCACAAAGCAAGGAGGCCTTGAAGCAATAGAGAGGAACTGTAAATCATAATAGCCTTTGGCAAGAAATGGGCATTCACTTGCCTACTAGGGGAGTGTGAAGAGGTACAACCTTCCTGGAGAACAAGGTGGCGATAGGTATCAAAATGTCATTGGTTTTTGACATACAAATTCACCTTTCAGAAACCCTTCCACATTGAAGATTTTCAGGGAAAGGGTGCACATAATGACATCATTTTCAACTGGTGAGGAACTGGAAATAAGCCAACTAATAGCTAGATGAAGTGTAATAGAGTAAAATTGTGGATGGCCTATTACAATACTGTTCTTGAACAGCATTTAATGGTAAGGAAAAATGCTCATGGTACAGTGCTATGTTAAAAAAACAGAATATGTGAGTATGTGTACAAAAACAAAGATGAAAGACTGGAAGGATAAATATCAAAACATAAATAACTGAGATGAAAAAATGCACAAAATGAAGAATGATGTAAAAATTT